TGTTAGGTGTAATATAGCACAAAACTGTTGGCCATATTTATTCTGGTGTACACACGTGCCAGTGGATTGGTTTGGATTCAGAAGTCTACTGCACTTTCTCGAGTCAGCTCTTGAAGAAACGTAGTTTCCTGAGCGTCTCAGGTAAGTAAAGTATTTACTTAGATCGCGCTAGATCGGAAGGTTGCATTTGCTGCGACGCACGCGTCCACCAGGGGCCGCTCCATCTACCCAACTGCAGCGCGGTTTCCGGCGGCGCGCCCGCGCGTGCTCACTTCATGTTGTGCCTCTCTGGGCCCCAGCCGTCTTCGCTCAGACTTTCTGGTGGTGTTCCCAGAGGAGGGTCCGGGAACGTTTTAGCGGCAAAACCCTCCTTTCTTCTGAGGTTTCTGTTTTGCATTCCTTCGTTCCGTGGGCAAGCCTGGGTGGCAAGTTTTAGCGTCTTACTCGAGAAGTAAGAGGAGGCCGAGTCCGGCGGGGCGTTCGGGCTGACGGAGGCCTGGGCCAGGCGAGACACTGCCACTGCTTGAATGTTGCGATGGTTGATCGGGGGAAGCCGAGAACCTCAGGGACTGGCCGAGGTAAACCCCGCGGGAGGGACCCCCCTGACACCTACAGAGACCGAGCTTGCTGATGCAGGATCAGGATTCCAAAAGCAGGCAGTGGGGACTCCTGCGGGGGCGGGGCCTGTAGGCGTAGACGCGCAGCGCGTTGCTCGGAGCCGTGCGAGGGGCGGGGTCTGTGCGGGGCTTAGGGAGCCAATATGTGCTCGTGCTTCCTCCCAAGTGGTCTGAGTTAAATATCCGGGTACTATGAGGTGAGCGATTGAAGTTTAGGAGGTTAAAGGACTGTCTCTAGGACACACTGTTAATAATCGGTAGAGTCGGTACCTTTATAAACGTAAATCTTCTGGTTACTTAAATCAGCCCTTTTCACCTTTAAAAAGTATCCGTTTGCCATAACCAGAAACAAACAAGTTGTGATTACTACCGTAGTCCACTTTTGGTTTCTTTGAATTGGCGCCTCTGTCCAATCTAACTGATGCTTGGTCACGGGATGTAAAATTAATTTCACTATTTGTCCAATAACAAAAAAGTGATAATTTGCTTCAAAGTAGAGAGAATGGTAGTTGCTATCTTTAGTTCCAGAATCACACCTTCATGAATTTAAATAATTGAGTACACTGAGTAATAAGGCTTACATGGGAAATGATAAGAAAAAAGGAAAATTTGTCTTGTTAACATCTGAAATTGATTTTATACAAGGAATGGAGTTGGTGTTGAGTTTCCTTTTATTACCCATAGAAAATACTTTGTTTTTTTAAACTTGGCTTGTTGTAAGCAGCCTTACTTACTCTTTCACCATATTTAGTCAACCTGTATAAGGAGCTCTGGTAGTACAGTGGTTACGAATTGGGCTGCTAACCGCAAGGTCGGCAGATCGAAACTACCAGCAGTTCTGTGGGAGAACTATGAGGCTTTCTGCTCCCATAAAGATTTACAGCCTTGGAAATCCTGTGCAGGGTCACTATGAGTCGGAGCCTACTCCATGGTACTTAACAACATTCAACCTGTATGCTGAGCAAATAATCCAAGAAACTGAGTTATATGAAGAAAAACATGGCATCAGGATTGGAGGAAGACTCTAACAACGTGTGATATGCAGATGATAAAACCTTGCTTGTTGAAAGTGAAGAAGACAAAGTATTTACTGATGAAGACTGAAGAACACAGCCTTCAGCATGGATTACATCTTAATGTAAAGAACACAAAAATCCTCTTCACTGGACCAATAAACAACATTCTTATCAATGGCGAAAAGAGATTGAAGTTGTCAAGGACTTCATTCTTCTTGGATCAGCTATCGACACTTAATGGAAGCAGCAGTCTAGAAATTTTCATTAGGCAAATCTGCTGCACAAGACCTTTTTAAAGTGTAGAAGAGCAAAGATGTCAGCTTGAGGACTAAAGTG